GTGCATTGAACTTCAATGTCTAGTGTTTCAATGTCTACCTAAGCCATCTCCATTTAAATTTCCTCTTTTCGTTTCTGTAGTTCCAGAGCCTAGTGTTGTCTTCTTTTAACCAGCTCACTACAGTCTCTGAGTCACTTTCTATGATCAGCTTGTTTAAATGTAAACCTTTCGCCCTTTGGACCCCTTCCAGAGTGCTAATATCTCAGCTCTCAGTGAGTCTCCCGCTCCAATTGGACCAGAGAACAAGGCTAACACATTCCCTTGTTCATCCCTTATAACTCCCCCTATTCCAGAAGGCCTTGGATTACCCATGCTGCTGCCATCAAAATTCAGCTTGGTAAAACCAAGAGGTGGGGGATCCAGTAAGAGCTTGAGACCTTCCTGGCTGAAGCCAAATTTGTAAAAACACCTGTAAAGAGGTGTATCAAGGCTCAGAGATACAATACCATATGCCCCATATCAGGCGTAAATGTGTCGGTATTTTGAACCTTGGCTGCAAGTGGTGGTCCAGCCCCAAGAACAACCACGTTTCCAAGCCCTAGCAACAGCCTTTGATTTTAGTGACGAAGAGGAAGATTTTGAAGATGAAAATCAGGGTATGGGAAGGCCAATTGATGCTAGACAGCCAGCTAGAAGAAGGAACAAATGGTGATAGGGATTAGAAGATGAAGATTGAGTTGCCAACTTTCAATAACCAGTTGTATATTGAAGATTTCCTAGATTGGATTTGTGAGGTGGAGAAAGTCTTTGATTTTTCTGAGACAACAGAAAATAAAAAGGTGAAATTGGTCTCTTATAAGCTGAAAAAGGGAGGAGCTTCTGCTTGGTGGGATCAAGTTCAGATGGAGAAAGTTAGAGCTGGAAAACAAACTAATAGGACATGGCCAAGAATGAAGCAGTTACTTCAGGCTCAATTCCTTCCACGTAATTATTACCAATACTTATTCCAACAATACCAACGTTGTGTGCAAGGTACACATGGGGCTAGAGAGTATGCATCTGAATTTTTTAGGCTTTAAGTTCATAATGAGTTGGCTGAAACTCCATCACAAAGGACTGCTCGGTTTATTGAGGATCTGAAACCAATCATACAAGAAAGAGTTGCAGCCCAAGATGTGTGGAATTTAAATGAGGCTATTCCTTTAGCTGTAAAGGCTGAAAGACATCTTGAACAATACCCAATTAGACACCAAACTTTGGGAAGGCACTACTTGGGTGAGACATCTAGATTCTAGGGTTGAGACTATTGTTGAGAAAGGGAAAGAGGGTTAGGGAGAACCAACACTCTCTCTTGATTTCTAGGTTGATTACTTGCTGGGCAAGTTGATTTTGTTGTTTCCGAGGCTGAATTAGTTTCCCTCTAGGATGGTTCTTTTGTTGGAAAGTATTATGGAATGGGGCAGTGGGCATTCCGGTCTTACTTACACCAAAGAAGGATGGGAGTAGCAAGATGTGTGTGGACAGTAGGGACATCAATAAAATAATTGTTTGATATCAGTTTCCAATCCCTAGGCTGGATGATGTTAGACATGCTTCATGGGGCAGCAATGTTTTCTAAGATTCATTTGAAGAGTGGTTATCATCAAATCAGAATCCGGCCCTAGAGATGAATGGAAAACGGATTTCAATACAAAAGAAGGACTGTATGAGTGGAAAGTTATGCCTTTTGGACTTTCCAATGCCCCTAGTACATTCATGAGGTTGATGAAACATGTTTTGAAGCCACTGATTGGCAAGTGTATGGTAGTATATTTTGATGATATCCTAGTGTATAGCAAGGACAAGGAAGAACACCTACAACATTTGCAAGAAGTTTTTTGGCGTTCTCCACCAAAATCAGATTTATGCCAACCTTAAGAAGTGCAGTTTTATGACCAAACAGCTTGTGTTTCTTGGGTACGTGGTCAGTGATTCAGACATTATGGTTATGAGGAAAAGGTTAAGGCTATTAGAGACTGGCCTACACCTAAAAATGTACATGAGGTATGCTCTTTCCATGGTTTGGTTACTTTCTATAGATGATTTGTACAACATTTCAGCAGTATTGTCAGTCCTATTACTGATTGCTTAAAAAAGGGACAGTTACAACAGACATCGGAGGCAGAAAAGGCATTCCAATTGATAAAGGAGAAGCTAACCAAAGCTCCTGTACTTGCTTTGCCCAACTTTGATAAGTTATTTGAAGTGGAATGTGACGCTTCAACGACAGGTATAGGTGCTATACTATCTCAAGAGAACTGACATGTGGCTTTCTATAGTGAAAAGTTTAATGAAGTAAAAGGAAATCATCTACCTATGAGCAAGAGCTATATGCAGTAGTGTAGGCTTTGAAGCATTGGAAGCATTAGTTGGTCCAAAGGGAGTTTGTTTTATATACTGATCATCAAGCTTTGAAGTATATTAATAACACGAACACTACTAACCATATGCTGCTAGATGGATAGCCTTCTTACAAGAGTTTACTTTACTCTCAAGCATAAATCAGGGGAACAGAATAAAGTAGTTACAAGTTATCATGCACCAGGAGTGATTTACACCTATGTAAGAAGAGTATAAATAGTAGCTATCAAGGAGAGTTCGGCATAGCAGATTAACCCCAGTTCTTCTTTCCCTTCTTCCTTTAAACCTTCAGTTCACTCATCTCAGGTTGCATCAAAAGGCAACTGAAGTTTTATTGCCTCTTTATCTTCTATTTTATTAATGAATCTGTGTGCACATATTTAATGGCTTACTGTAGCAATGAAATTCTAATTCTTTTTGCATCTTAGGTCTAAACCAAAGAAATGAACTTTCTTATTGTAGTTTATTTTGGATATATATATATATATGATTGAAAAATTTTATTAATCACAAACTGTTAAGAGTTACAAACAACCCAAGGAGAGGCATGAGGTGCAACCCCTCTAGGAAATCACAAACATCTTTTCAAAACTCAATTAAAACAAGTCACAAAGTAGCCTAAAAAAGACAATCCTGAGAAGCCCCTTGTTTAGCTAATGAATCAGCTACAGCATTTGCCGATCTGCCCACCCACTGAACACTAACTCTCATGTTGCTAGTTAGCCATTTCACTTTCTTGAACGGATCTCTACAGCATTAGCCATTTCACTTTATTTTGGATATATATTAACAAAAAAGAATGAAACTAGGCTATGTTTACATGCATTGGCTTAAGAATCCCCTAATGTCCAGTTTCCATTTTCATCCAGCACTATCCCTATTTATTTTCTCTTGAAATTTTTTATTTACCTTAAAGCTAAGGATCAAATTTGGATATCAGTGAGTATCAATATACTGATACTTCTTTTTTATTTTTTATTTTATCAGCCTGAGTGGGATGTCTTCTATCATACTAAACTTTCAAAACTCACAAACATTGTGTATATTGGTGTATCCACAATCTTGGATAGGGATATGATATGGGTTGTATCATATCGATATTTTGATCCTTGCTTACCTATTTGAAGCCCTACCAAGGGACTTTTAGTGTTATTAAGAAATTTTCTTTATTCTTTCAAGTATAAGTGACATCAATAAAATTATAAAAAATAAAACATCATCTTGTTGCCCCCCCCACCAGAGAGAGAGAGAGAGAGAGAGAGAGAATAAATGCCTACCAAAGGTTTATCTTGTATAGGTTTTAATCATAAACCAGTGATTTAATCTTGGTGATCCAACCTTGCAAAATCTGAATAATAGAATTCCTAAACCATCATTACTTTGTCCTACATTACACCTTCACCAACAGTTTGGTTCATCTCAATTTGGCATAGCTAACTGGTGGTCTGTTCACAAATAAGATTGTCAATCTTCTAATGAAGGCTTTGCACCTAGAGTTTCAAGAAGAAATCCCCCTGCCTATGGTGATAGGCCTCCCATTCAGGGAAGGAGCAACAGAAGAACAAATTGAGTGATGTTGACTCTGTTTCTGGTAAGAGCGAGATGATGCAAAATAACAATGGCACTGACACTAGGTCAGGGTGTGGGACTCTCCAGAATTTGGTGGATAGAGGTCACGATTGGAAAAAGTCTGGGTTTGTTTTTCTGGGGTGTTGAGGAGTTTGCTAGAAGGGCCTTTGATGAGTTTGAAAGAAGGAAAAAGGAAGAGAAGGTGAACAGAAAAAGCTCAACGGGAAGGTGACAAGCATTGGGATGAAGATGATTCAAGCCAAGAGGATGAGTTTATGGAGGAAGATTGAGGTCTTGGTAGAGCAAGGAGGGATTAAGTTTCTGTTCAGGAGTGGGGTTGGATGTATTTGCTCTCATGGGGACTTTTTTGGGTTGTTTCCTTGGCCTTTGCTTGAGATTGTTTTGAGAGAATCTTGAAGCTTTGTTAGTTGTTTGGTTTTTTGGGTTTTAGTATGGGACTCTTGAGATCTTTGTTGGGTTCTTTGGGTTTGCTTCCGCTTCAAGTGATGTCCTATTGTATTCTATTTTCCTTTTTCTAATGAATTTTTATTTTTATTTTTCAAAAAAAAAAAAAAAGATCATCCTGTCTATCCAACAGATATTTTCAATAGGTTAATAGAGAGTGGAATTTCTGCTTAAAACCTCGAATTTTAGTTCCTCTTTTCCTGTTTGTTCAGGTTATTCTCCAAGTATCTTTGACTAACACACTTTTGACTTTCAAGTGATTGATGGAGAAACAAAAAAGTTTAGTCTGATTAAACTTTGAAAGAATGTTTAGAGCCCTTGAAATGTATAGCTATTTCTTCTATCCATTCATGAAAGTAATGACAATAGAGAGAACATTCATGCAATATAAAATGCATATATTGACCCTATAGTCCTCATTATCCTCTAAAAGTATCTGTAAGGAATTATTCTTGGGAGTGCGCAAATCTCAAAGTTATAAATGAAATAAAAGAAATATCACTGCAAACCCAAGAGACAGAAAGCCTCCAATAAACCTTTTAACTCCAGTTGACAAGATAAATATCTTATAATAAAAAATATTCAGTAATTGGGCTTGAAGGAATTTGGAAGATAAAAGAACATACGTAAAACCCATTTTTTGGCAAATGTGGTGCTTGATGGCAGCTCCAATTGCTTGTTGGGGGCTTTTCACATTGGAAATATAAGGAAGAATATAAGATCCAAGAGTTTTTTCCGCATAGCAAATCCAACCTGAATTTGTAAAAAATTTGCTTAGTAACATTTATTGACAAGAATGAAATTGCACCTGAACAACTACTATTTTGTAACTATCTACATGTTCCAGGAAATTATTATTTGAAATTGTGTAAGATATCTGAAGGACATTTAAGCTGTGTTTGGTTTGAAGGAAAAAGTAGGGAAAGGTAGGGAAACCTTTACAAACCTTGTACAAGTTCCCTACCTTTCCCTTCCTTTCCCTACCTTTTCCTTCAAACCAAATATAGCCTTAGTGCTAATAGCCTCATCCTATACATTCAGATGATTGTCACGTGTTTCATTTTCTTAGGATGGCAAGGTATGAAAACATTACTTAGATCCTACAGAACTATGATATCAACTTGATGGAAAGATTTAATATTTTTGCCTAGTGAATACACTTTGCTAAAAGGAAGATCTTATAAGACAGGAGGCCATGCTGTATAGAGCAAAGTATTGGGCAGTCAAGAAACAATATGTCCAGTGGGAAACTAGAAATGAATTTATTCAGCTCCAATAGGTGATAAAATGAGCAAAAGTAGATAAAGTGGTTTGGTCACATGCAGAGAAGACATCTACAGAACCCATATGGTTGAAATAGTGAGCAATGGTTTCAAGGCCCACACTTTAACAATTGATATGGCACTGGACGAGCGGAATGGTACAACAGGATTCATGTAGCTGACCTCATATGGTTGGGACTTGGGACAAGGCTTAGTTGAGTTGATTATGAACCATTCAGAAAGAAAAAAGCAGTTCAGGATGGTCAGAGTATTGACAAGCACAGAATCTTTGTTTTTCCCTTCCAACCATGTCCTTTAATCCAATTTCAGATTTCCCTTCATGCATGCCTAGGCATAATAGTGCTAATAGGTCAATGGTTAGTTTTCTGATGGAAGAATCTTCATTTACCCCCACCTCACAAATTTTTATTTCACCATACAGTTGGGAACAGTGACAGTGGGGGAATTGATAACAATAAGGGGAAGGGGTATGGTGTCATAAGTGGGGGTGTTGGAAGTTTTAAATTGTTGCGAGTGTACGGTGAAGTGAAAATTTGTAGGGTGGGTTTTGGTGAGATTTTCCCTTTCTGATCTGGAATCTACAGAACAGTATCAGTTATTGGTAGTTTGTTATCTTTCCAAAAAAAAAAGTTATTGGGTAGTTTGTATATTGCCCACAGCCAATAATATCTTCTAAGAGGTTTTGGTGCAGATATCCATTACAGGTGCATAGGTATCACTCAGATTCATCTAAACACAAAACCCTGGGAGAGAGGACCTCAACTAAGACAGATGCATGCATATTCAACAGATATCAAATATTTCATATATTTAAGTTTGAACTTCTATTTTGGTATCTTGTAATGGTATTAGTTAATTATTTATGTTGGTTGTGTCCAGAGTCCAAAAAAAGTGGATGTTTTGCCAAGGGGAGGGGCAAATTTTGTGGATCTGACACACTTTTGTTTACCTTGCACATGTCTGGTCTAGGATGATCATGGTCTGGGCCAGGCACAAGCCATGTTTTTACAGAATATTAATAGCTTAAGGCCTGCCCAGGCCTAGCCTGCATGCTGGATCTGATATTACATGTCCAAGCCTGGTCCTGGGCCAGGCTGGCCGGTATGAATTAAAATTAAAGTTTAATTTAACCTTATAATCAAAATTACACAAAAAATATTTAAAAATTTATTGTATATATTAATATATTATATCATATATACATACATACCGTATATCATGTCTTTCAGGCAGAATAGATTTCCTCATATATTATATATAAATACAATTTCTAGGCCAGGCCTATGGCTTACTTGGCCCGGGCCTGGCCTGCATTGCCTACAGGCTTGATACAGGTCCAGGCCGGGCCAGGTCATAAATGATCATCCCTAGACTGGTCATGTTGCAAGAGTAAGATGAGGTAAAATAAAGTGTAAAGGCATCATTGTCAATATATAATCCCTGTTATTAGCCTCCTCATAGGATTACTTTTATGGTCATCATTTAAACTGATGCACTTCTAGGTTTTGTTTCAATTATAGTCATACACAAGGCCATTATTCAAATTCAGTGCCACTAACAAAAATTCAAGGTCCTAGGAAGGGCAGACTGGATATAAACCTAACCTCTGGCTTTTTTATCATAAAGCTGCCGCTCTCAAACTCTTAACTGCATTCTCACACTTATCATCCCTAGATTTTACCACTAAGCTAAGCAATGGCCGCTCAACATGTTTTCAACAGTTCAAGAATTCATAAGTCAGAACTCAGAACACAGTAACACAGAAGTGAGAATTCATTATTTCCCATGATTCTAGTAGTCAGAGGGTAGACTTGACGGCTGGTGCAACAGTTGGGTTCTCCTTTGCTACCTAAGTGACCAGGGTTCAAATCTTGAAAACAGCCTCTTTGTATGTGTAGGGGTAAGGATGTGTACATCTATCCCTCCCCAGAACCCTGCATTGGCAGGAGCCTCGTGCACTGGGCTGCCCTTTTTATCCCAATATGCAAGATTGATAGCATGCTAGAAGAAGGTTAAAAGGTGACAATTCAATTGTTTCAGCATATCAAGGAGTTTCAGCAACAGAGTTTAGTGTAGCATTGACCAACAAGTACATTTGACTTGAGGTTCTCATCCAATTCCCACATATAAAAGATTGACATGAAGAAGACTTATGGCCACATAAGCTGGCTGCACCATACATCAATCTTTTTTTTTCTTGGGGTGGGG